GGAATGTAAAATGATGCAGCTGCTTTGAAAAACAGGGGCAGTTTCTCAAAATGTTAAAAATAGAGTTGCCATATGACCCAGCAATTCCAGTCCTAGGTATCTACTCAAAAGAAATGAAAACTTATGTCCCCACACAAACTTATACATGAATGTTCACAGCAGCCCAAATGTAGAAAAAACCTAAATATCTATCAACTGATGCATGGATAAACAAGATATTGGGAAATAAAAAGGAATGAAGTACTGACACATGCTACAACATGAATAAACTCTAAGAACATTAAGTGAAAGAGCCAGTCACAAAAGGCCATGTATTGCAGATTCTACTTAAATGTAAATTTCCAGAATAGGCAAATCTATATAGAGACAGAAAACAGATTAGTGGTTGCCTAGAACAAGGGATAAGGCAAAGGGGAGTGACTGCTAATGGATACAAGGCTTCCTCTGGGATAATAAAATTGTTCTAAAAGTGGTGACAGTTGTACAATTTTGTAAATACTAAAATTGTAAATACTAAAATTGTGCACTTTACATAGGAGAATTTTATCTATGTATAGATATGTATAAAGCTATTTAAAAAAAAAAAACCTACTAGGGGCACCTGGGTGGCTCAGTGGGTTAAGCCTCTGCCTTCAGCTCAGGTCATGATCCCAGGGTTTTGGGATCAAGCCCCACATCATGCTCTCTGCTCTGTGGGGAGCCTGCTTTCTCCTCTCTCTCTCTCTGCCTGCCTCTCAGCCTACTTGTGATCTCTGTCTGTCAATTAAATAAATAAATAAAATCTTTAAAACAAAACAAAACAAAACCCTACTAATACTTAAAAAAAAAGAAAAAGGAATAAAGTAGTGAACCAAGCAGGAAAAAAACAAAACCAAAAAAGGCTTCCCACAAAGGAAAGCCCAGCTTTAGACAGGTAAACTCTAACAAATATTTAAAGAAAAATAGTACAATTCTAACACAATCTTTTCAGGAAAATAAAAGAGGAAACACTTCTCAACTCATTCAATGAAGCCAGTATTATCTAGGTACCAAAATCATAAGAAGATGGATAACAAGAACAGAACAGACCAATATCCCTCATGAATACAGACACAAAAGTCTTTAACAAAATATGAGCAACGTTTAAAAGGGCATATAACAATGAGCTGAGATTTACCCCAGGAATACAAAGTTGGTTCAACATTAAAACATTAATATACCGTATTAATAGAACAATGCATAAAAGCCACATGACTATCTCAGTAAAAGCATGAAAATACATGACAAAACCCATTCATGATAAGAACTCTCCACAAACTAGACACAGGAAGAAATTTCCTCACTGATAAAGGCATTTATGAAAAACGTACAGGTAACACTGCACTTACTGGTGAACAATGAAATGCTTTCCCCTTAAGATGAGGAACAAAGCAAAGAAGGATGGAAGTGTGCTCTTTTCACTTTCTATTCAACACTTTACTGGAGGTTCTATCCTATGCAATAAGGGTGGGAAAAGGAGGAGGAGGAAAAATTAAAGGCATTCAGATTTGAAAAGAAGAAACAAAACTGTCTGTATTTGCAGACCACATTATCCTGTGTGTAGAAAAACCTAAGGAGTCTGTATACAAAAAACTATCAGCACAATAAATGAGTTCATCAAGCCACAGGATACCAGATCAACATACAAAATCAAGCATGGTTCTACATACTCACCAATGAAAAACCCAAAAATGAAACCAAGAAAAAAATTTCATCAAATACTATATCCAAAGAGAATGAAATACTCAGGAATATCCAAAAGAATGACATACTTAACAACAGAAGTGCAAGCCTTGTACATGGAAAATTACAAAGCATTACTAAGAAAAAGTAAAGTTCTAAGTAAATGGAGAGATAGTTGAGGTCTCTGAACAGGAAGACTCAGTTTTAGGAGAGCCACTCCCTGAAGTGATCTGCATATCCACAATACCTACAAAATCTCAGTAGACTTTTTTTGGTAGAAAACCACCAGCTAAATCTAAATTTACACAGAAATACAGAAGATCTAGAGTAGCAAAAATTCTAAAAAAGTACTAAGTTGTAAGACGAGTATGATGGATTTCAACAGTTATTATAAAAGCTACAGCAATCAAGACACTGTGGTACTGACCTAAGGAGAGATATATGGACCAAAGAACAGAAATTGGTATCCACGTTTACAGTCAACTGTGTTTTCACAGTGGTGCTGATGCAATTTGATGGGGAAATGGACACATTTTTCAATAAATGGTGCCGGAACAACTGGACAGCCACATTCATAAAATAAATTTACATTTTACTTCATGCCACACAGAAAAATTAACTCACAATGAATTATGGACTTAAATGAAAGCAATAAAACTAGAAAAATTTTTTAAAGAAAACATGAGAAACTCTTTGTGCCCATGGATTAGGAAACAACTTTTCACCAAAATGCGATCCATGAAACAAAAAGTTGGTAAGGTGGACTTTATTAAAATTAAAGATGCTTACACACTATGAAAATGAAAGACAGTATCAAGATGATGAAAGGCAGAGATTGGGAGAAGACATCTGCATCCTAGGACTGAGAGAGAACTTGTACCCAGACTATTTAAAGAAATGTTACAACTCAGTATAACAAAAACAACCCAATTTAAAAATGGCCAAAGATCTGAATAGACATTTCACCAAAGAAGAAAAATATATGGCCAACAGAGCACATGAAAAGATGCTCAACAACTTTTCAACATTCTAATCTGAATTATTAGGGAAATGCAACCAAAGCCAAAATGAGGTATCACTTCACATCCTAGTATCAAAATGGCTATAATAAAAGACCAGTAACGTGTGCTAAAAAAGGCTCAAACTGGCTACTGAACTGGTAATTAAAAATGGTTAAAAATAGTAAATTTTACATTATATTTTATCACAATAAAATTTTTTTTACAGTCCTACTACTTAAAAAAAGAGAGAGAGAAAGAAAGAAAGTAGTTAACAAAGTAGGAGAAAACAAAAATCATCTTCCCACAAGAGAAAAGCTGGACTTTAGATGGTATTACTGGTGAGTTCTAGCATATACATAAAAAAGAAGTAACACAATTTTGCATTATCTTTTCCAGGAAACAGAAGAAAACACTTCCAGACTTATCCAGTGAGGTCAATTTAAATTCCTTAAAGTATAAAAGATAGAAGGTACTGGACCAGAAGTATTAAGAACTGGGTTCTAGTCCAGAGTTTGTTACCAACTAGTTGTGTAATCTTTGTCAAGTTACTCCATCTTGTTGGGCTTCAATTTCTTCATTTGTAAAATAAAAGAGTTGACCAGAGAAGTCCTTTCCATCTATATAATTTTATGGTACACCTATTACATCAATTTTGTTCAAAATCTGCCCAGTCGTATAATTGGTATTAACTTTCTGGAAAACAATATGGCAATATGTATGTAGTAAGAGCCAGTTCACACTCGCTGGCAAAGTTTTTCAACTTCTGGATATTTGTCTTAAGGAAATAATTTAACCAGTCAAAGAACACATAAAAAGATGGTCACTTTAACAATCCACATGTCCAACAATAGTAGAGTAAGACAGTAACACAAAGACATATCAACTTACTAAAAATTAGTATGAAGATTATGGAAAATATTTTTTGTTAGGTAAAAATAATCAGAAAGTAAATGATTTAAAAATGAAAATGTACACTGTATATAAATTATAAACCAAAGTCATTTCTACTAATGAAAGCAGTATCAGAATTTTGAATCTACAAGATCTTGTTTTTTTTTTTTTTTTCCCCCCCCCCCAATGATTTTATTTATTTGACAGAGAGAGATCACAAGTAGGCAGAGAGGCAGGCAGAGAGAGAGAGGAGGAAGCAGGCTCCCTGCCAAGCAGAGAGCCCAATGTGGAACTCGATCCCAGGACCCTAAGATCATGACCTGAGTTGAAGGCAGAGGCTTTAACCCACTGAGCCACCCAGGTGCCCCTACAAGATCTTGTTTTTAATGACAAAGTAGTTTTTGAAATGTTGATACATTATATACTCAAAGAGAAAAAATCAGAAACATGTCCCAAGTATGATACAAAATATCAAGATTATGTTGATAAGGTTCTAAATTGCTCTAGCTTGAATAATGCTTCCTAAGAGTGGTTATGATTCTAGGGCTCTCAGTAGAAATCTTAATCATTCAAACTTTCATCAGCTGATACTGGAATTATCAATAGTATTTTACCATTCTACCCAGTTTTGAGATTAAGCCTAGAAGTCTGATTTTATCAAGTGCTCATTCAAATACAGCTATAATACTGGGCAGTTCAAAATCCTCACACCTGATTATTTCATTTATTACTGTCAACTCATTCCAACCTCTCTATTTAAAATTTCTCAGGCAGCCTTCATTTGTAAAACATCTGAGTTATACAACCACTAATTTCCTCTCTCTCAAGTAAGGAGGGAGAAGAAGAAGCCTCTAGCTTCTGGATTTTCCTTTGTATTCCATTCCTAGGGCTGTCTGGTAGGACAGGGATTTCAAGAGGATCCAGTCTCAGCACTGCCAAGGTTGGCAGAATACTTGGTGAATGATCTTGGCACAATCCTAAAAATAATAGGTTAAACCGTATGAAATCATTTCTGTAGGTCAAAAGAATAGACCATCAGTAACTGCATATGGCTCAACCAATGTCAATGCCTCCATATTAAGGAAAACTTTCTGTCCCCTTTCAAACTCTGTAGAATCACTGTCAAGGATTCTCTCCTTGATCTTTTCAATGAATACACTTACATGAGTCATTATTTCTAGAACCAGAATTAAAGCAATTTTAAATTTTAATTTTTAAGCAATTTTTACATGTTTGGATTAAAATGTTTTAACAGCAGCCAACCAAAGAATAAATATCAGAATTATCCCACTCTAACTCAATTCTTGTTAGTCATGTTTCTATTCACAGAGCAGTAAGTTTTCACACTTTCAGAGCAAGGCTTCTTCCAGCTCCAACTGAAATCCATCCATATTGAGAGCAACTCACCTGAAACTACCATAGACTATAAGCAGAATTGAAATCAGAAATGTAGACACTTGACTGGAATCCACCAGGGAATAGGCCCTAGAGAAATAAGAGGGGAAAAAAATTAGATCACATGCTACAAATCCTCATGGAGTTTACAGTCTGGTGGAGTTCTATCCCACTAAGCTTCATTATTGTCTTTAAGTTAAAAAAAAAAAAAAGTAAATTAGCATGAACAAACAGCATAATTAAAATGAGGTCTGCTAGTTTAATAGAAAGAATACGTGTGTAGGTTTGCAGCTATTATAAGTTAACATTCTCAGGATGTTAAATGATATCAATGTAAAAAATTCCACCTCTGTATACCACATATGCCTACAACATCCACTCCCAATTTAAGAAGTACCAAAATATATACCATCACTGTGCCAAAGATAAAAAAGTCTCAGTGATTAAACTGTTATCAGTTTACACTTGAACTGTTAATAGTATTTTACTGCTTTCCCTCAGTGATGAGGTGAAGCCTATATCTCCTCCCTGTATTCCATTTCCCTTTTTTAATTGCCCACTGGGTTCTCCCCATCCAGGTGTCCTACAGGAGTTCTTCCAAGGTAACAAGGTCCTAAATTAAAGTCAGTATACTTCCCTTCATACTTGATCCTCTTAAGGAATGGAATTACAATTCCCTCAGTTCAAAGCTAGAAGTCAGCTGCATTCTTGACACCCCCTTCTCTTTACACATTAACAACAGTCAGCAATTCTTGCAACTGCCACATCCCCAATCATCCCACTTCTCTAAATCCTACTGGCCAATTCTTTAGCTCTCTTCTAGGGCTTGACCAACAAAATTCTTGTGTATAAGCCTGTCTCCAGGAGTTAACCCTTCACACTAATCATTTTTGTTCACGATTTTCCTAAAAACAAATTTCTCATTTTTTTTTTTCATTCACCAAATATTTGATGATGCCTCTATGCTGGTACTCTGCTAGTGACTGGGGATACAGTAACAAATGAGACTGTCTTGGTCCCATACTGAATGTTCTAAAGGAATAAAAAAATTAAAGGGATGAAAACAAAAGTTCTTTCCAAAGGGATGAAAACAAAAGTTTAAAACAAGTAAATATCATCATGGAAAATGTTGTAAAGGGGAGAGAGAAAAGTACAAGGTCCTCTGAGAATATATAATAGGTGGGTCCTACTGAAGAATTGGGGGTGGGGGACTTTCCTTAGGGTAACAGATGAACAACTGAGATAAAAGACACTGTAATGGACCTGGTAATTGTTTTTAAGAGCTAAGAGCATCCCCAGCTTTCTGCTGAGCAGCTGTTGAATGGCTGTACCATTAAGCAAAAAAGGCAACATACAGAAGCAAATTCCTTGTATGTTGGGTTTTGGATTGTTGAGTAGACAGGTGGGTATGTGGGTCTAGAGCTCAGAAGCAGCTTGAGGACAAAGATATATATTGCGAGCTCATCACCTTCAACACGTTAATTGAAACCATAGGTGTGCATGAGACTGCCTAGCAGCAGTAAGAGGACCCAGGAGGAAAGCCTGAGAAACTTCTATAAAATATAAAGGTCAAGAAGGAGAAGCTGGAAAACACAAAGACATATATCCCAAAAATGGACGAGAAAAAAGAAGAAAACCCAGAAAACCCAGGATAGCACAGTGTGATGAGAGTATTTCACAGAGGCAGCAGGATCGGATGGTGCCTGAATTTAAACCCTTGCTTTAACACTTACCAGTAGTTACTCAACCTAAGTTCAGCCTCTTCACCTATAAAACGCAAATAATGGCACCTACCTTAAATAGATATTAAACTATCAAATGAGGGACACTGCATGGCTCAGTTGGTTAAGCATTTGCCTACGGCTCAGGTTCTGATCCTAGAGTCCTGGAATCAAGCCTCACACCAGGCTCACATCAGGCTCACATCTAACCTGCTTCTCCCTCTCCTTCTGCCGCTCCCCCATGCGGCAATTCCTACGAAGAGCTGAGCAGCTGAACTAGCAATCACTGTTAGTATTAGGAGGGAGAGGTCACCTGTGCTGAAGGCTGGGGAGATAGCAAGTAAGATAAAAACTGGTATCCACTGGATTTATTCACCAACTAAGTCTCCTGTGACCTTAACAAGAACACTTTATGGGGTGCCTGGGTGGCTCAGTGGGTTAAAGCCTCTGCCTTCGGCTCAGGTCACGAACCTTGGGTCCTTGGATAGCGCCCCACGTCAGGGAGCCTGCTTCCCCCCCCCACCCCCCTGCCTGCTGCTCTGCCTACTTGTGATCTCTGTCAAATAAATAAATAAAATCTTAAAAAAACAAACAAACAAGAACACTTTAAGGCATGGCAGTGATGGGAGTCAGGTTGGAACTGGCTGAGAATGAGAATCAGGCAAATGGAGACTGACATCTTTTTGAAAGGCACAAAGAAGGGAAGAGCAGTAGGAGGGGAATGTAAGGATAAGTGAGGCCTGGAAAAAATTTGTTTTAAAGATTTACTTATTTGAGAGAGAGATACCCCATGCACGTGCGGGGGGTGGGAGGGACAGAGGGAGAGAGTCTTAAGCAGACAAGCAGACTCTTCAAGGAGGGGGCTCGATCCCACAACTGCCTGAGATCACAACCTGAGCCAAAAGCAGTATGACACTTAACTGACTGTGCCACCCAGGGCCCCCAGGTCTGATTTTTTTTTTTTTAAGACAGGAGATACTCAACATTTTGTGTATGCTGACTGGAAATTATCCCAGTGAGAAGAGAAAGACTGGTGAATACAGAGGAGTTTAAACCTTTCTAAAAAATAGGACACACAATGAAATTCAATGGTAAGATACTGTGGTCTGTAGTGTGATTTTTTTTTTTGATCTTCAGTTTTTAGAGGCACATACTGCAGTGACTCTGGGTGAAATGATTTAATGTTTGCTTTAAAATGTCCGGGGGTGGGGAGGAGAGTAGGGATAGTTTTTTTTAAGGCAAAATTTTTAGTTATTGATGCTAGAATGATAGGTAGATGGGAATTCATTATAAAGCTGACCCTTGAGCAACCTAGAGGTTAAGGATGCTGAACCCCCTTCACAGTTGAAAATCGTACAACTTCTGACTCCCCAGATACTTAACTGTTACTAAACTACTGTTAACCAATAACATCAACAGTTGACTGATATTTTTTATGTTATACTACATGTTGTATTCTTATAATAAAGTTAGAGAAATATTAAGAAAATCATAAGGAAAGTGCATTTACAGTCCTGTAGTGTATTTACTGGAAAAAAAAAATCCATGTATATAAGTGGACCTGTGCAGTTCAAACCCATGTTATTCAAGAGTCAATTATACTCTTCCCTCTACTTTTGTGTATTTTGAAAAATTCCACAATAAAAAGTTAAAAAAGGAAAAAAACCATCTTTTTTCACAGCAACATGAAAACTGGTGAGACAGTTAAAAGTGTGAGAGGCAAATGGATACAGGAACGTCTGCTCTGGATCATGAGTTCTGAACCACAGTGCCCCACGGTAGGCAACCACCCCTTCCTAAAATTTCAGTCAGCAGAGGGAATGGAGATGCAGGCGACAGGACAGCCACCCTAGCTGCTCTGCCAGTCTGTGTTCAGCCGTGCAGCTGTTGAGTGGCCAATGTGTCCTCTTTCAGGCAGACAACCAGACGACAGACAGGGCTTACCCACCACAAGACTACATTTCGTATATTAGGAAAACAAATTCAATCAATGTCTCTTTATTTTAGAATTGAGTTTCTTGCTTTGACATAATCGCTTTTGTACATCTCTTCTTAAAATTTTGAGAACAAATGACCTCTGTTTAGACAGAACATTTTCTTTCTTTCTTTTTTTTTTTTTTTAAAGATTTTATTTATTTATTTGACAGAGAGGGATCACAAGTAGGCAGAGAGGCAGGCGGTGGGGGGGGGAAGCAGGCTCCCCACCGAGCAGAGAGCCTGATGTGGGGCTCAATCCCAGGACCCTGAGATTATGACCTGAGCTGAAGGCAGAGGCTTAACCCACTGAGCCACCCAGGCGCCTCTAGAAGGAACATTTTCTTAAAATTAACAAATTTTTTGGAAAACATCATGCAATCATATGGTACAAAAATCAAAACTACATATATTAAAAGGGACACACCAGTAAGTCCCATTCCCATCTAGTTTCCCCCAGCTCCTCTTTAGATAACCACTTTACTTTCTTGTAAAGCCTTCTAGAATATATAATATAAACACGTATTATTTCTCACCATTTCTTACACAAAAGGCAAGACTCTGTACTTCCCCTATCCTCCTTTCACAATATAACATACAGATCTTCCTATATATTAGTATGTGCAGATTTTATCTTTTTTGTTTTCTTTAAGCTGCATAGTATTCTATTGTGTGGATACATTGAAAAGCAGTTTTTTGTTTGTTTGTTTTTTAAACAAATCCCTTTTAGATAGACACTGGTTGTTTCCAAAAATTCTCTTAACCACACTTCTACAAAAAAACAAAACAAAACAAAACAAAACAAAACAAAAACGGAGTAAATTATACCTGCAATGCACACATGAAATGACACATGTTTAGAACAAAGGTCTTAAAAGTGAGACTGCCTATCACAGAGGAAATACACATGCAATTTGATAGATACTGCCAAACTGCCCTCCAGAGACACTGTATCATTTTGCATTCTCACCAGCAACAGATTAGAGTTCCTCTTTCCAAAGCCTTGTCAATGGTGTCTCTAATTTCGGAATTTTTACCAATCTGAAACATGAAAATTGGTATCTCAATATGGCTTTCATTTGCATTAATTTCCTGATATAATTAAAATTTAAAAAATTGATTAAAAGTGAGCTTAAGCAGCTTTTCACATGATTAAAGGCTAGTAGGCATTTTTTAAAATTTAATTTTTTTCCCAGATTCCAAGGCTATAAAAAACAAAGGCATACTTTTTTTTTTTTTTTTTAAAGGATCTTTTCTTTTGCTGGTTTTTTTTTTTTTTAAAGCTTTTATTTATTTATTTGACAGAGATCACAAGTAGGCACAGAGGCAGGTGGAGAGAGGGGAGAGGGGGAAGCAGGCGCCCTGCTGAGCAGAGAGCCCATTGTGGGGCTCCAT